TTTTTTTTACATTTTATTGTTGGATGTAACTGGGACCCTGTGTACATAATCTCGTTCCACCTCATGTACCACGTGGTGGAACGACAAAGAGCCTTCACTTCCTGTTTGGAAGAGAACTGAGCTCAGATACAATGGAAGTCAATGGAAATTTGGTTGTGACCTCTGAACTCTGAGGACACCGTCCGTCCAGCAGCAGAGTGATTGGGTGAAAAGAGACAAAAACACCAACAAGTGGGTTTTACCGTGGACGTCTGTGGGAGATTTTTTCACAGTTTATGACTTTTGTTTAATTCGTTTGACGTTCTGCTGCCGACAGTCAAGAGATCGCTGTTCTGATGAAGGTTTGATTATTTGGACGGGACCTTCAAGGAACTCACAGTTCAAGGACCTCACAGTTCGATTGAGATTCAGATGCTGCGATTATAAAACGATTCATATTTTTAAACGACAATGCCTCATTTTTCATAAACGTTCTTGTCTAAATTCTTAGGCCAAAAATGGGCACAAAATAACAACGTAAAGAAAATGACAGGGTGCTGACAAACAGTTAACATGGATGCTAATGCAACATTGACAAACAGTTTGCATGGATGCTAATGCAGCATTGACAAACAGTATAGATGCTAACGCAGCATTGACAAAAAGTTAGCATGAATGCTAACAAAGCACTGACAAACAGTTAGCGTGGATGCTAACGCAGCATTGACAAACAGTTAGCGTGGATGCTAACGCAGCATTGATAAACAGTTAGCGTGGATGCTAACGCAGCATTGACAAACAGTTAGCGTGGATGCTAACGCAACATTGACAAACACTTAGCATGGATGCTGATGCAGCATTGACAAACAGCATGGATGCTAGCGCAGCATTGACAAACATGGATGCTAATGCAGCATTGATAAGCAGTTAGCATGAATGCTAATGCAGCATTGACAGTTAACATGGATGCTAATGCAGCATTGACAAACAGTTAGCGTGGATGCTAACGTAGCATTGACAAACACTTAGCATGGATTCTGATGCAGCATTGACAAACAGT